TTGGAGGTTGCTAGTTTGTGACGAGGAATCAGAGGGATAGAATAGTCGATTATCAGTTGTGTATAATCGATTATTCAGGCTTTCAGGATCAAGATTGGGAAAGAAAGAGGGAAAGGCATTATTTGGGTAAAAAGGATTTGAAAAGAAACAAACAAAGGTTTTAAAAGATATCAAGAAACTAAGGTTTGACTTGTCTTCCTTTGATCTCATTTTGACCTGGAGTTAAAAATTGATGGGAAAGACTTTATTTTGAATTAAAGGAAAGAAAGAAGACTTTTGGATATGTTGGGGAGTTTGGGGTTCAGGTGGAGCCATCCAGGGGTACATCATACTCCCCTTCTTCAAAGAAAGTTTGTCCTCAAACTTTCGCACCACCGTGACTGATTGGGGTTTCATAAAAGAATTCCTGGATCAAATGGGAAATTCAATGAACCACCAATAATGAGGTTCCTTCCGGAATTAGTGGGCACCTCGTTGTGTAATTTCCGGAACATGATGTCATTCCCTGTAAAAACCTGCTTCAAACATACCTCAGAGAGGAGATAAGATTTTCCTTCATTGAAAAGAGGATAATACTCTATGGAAATCACTTCCGTAGAATATATAACTTTCGGTGTGGCTTTCTCTATAACTACCTCATCAACGAAGTCATCATCAATAAAGAAAGAATCATTATAGTGTGATTCTTCTTGAGCATTAGAAGCCGGTTCTTCTACGAAGACGTCATCTTCATCCTTGGCAGGAATATCAAAGATGTCTTCCTCATTGACAAATTGGTCACATGAGCTTTTCTTTTCCTCCTCATGAATTATGACCCACTTTTCATATGGTATGGCATACTTATTTGAACATTCCCAATGGCCATGACCACAGCCACCACACATGAAACACCGCCGAGTAGCCCATTGCTATATTGCTCCATTTGCAAGGATAATGTCCAGATTTCTGAGGTGTCTTTTAGAGACCATATCTCACAAACCAGAGATTGGAATTAGGTAATTCCAACTCTCAAAGCTAGATATCGATGTCCATAAAGACATATCAAAAATAGAAATCATCCTAAATAGGACTAAAACATAGAGAAAAGTACCAAAATAGGACTTTCATGTTTTTTTCCCGGAATAGGACTTTGCATTGTGGTAATGTGACCTTGCATTGTGGTAATGTGGCAGTGTACATGTGCAAATTACTATGTTTTTTGGTAATGTATATGACCATGGTTCGTAATGTAAGTCCTATTTTGGGAATTAAAACATGGAAGTCCTATTTTGGTATATTTTCAAACTTTTAGTCCTATTTGGGTATTTCTCCCTATCAAAAATTCAGAGCCATTAAAGAACGTTTGCTACCTCTTTGGAGACAAAAGAAGCAAGCTAGACAGAATTCGGGCCAGGCTGCATTGTCAACTTTGGAAGGGCGTATCTCGCTAACCACAACTCCGAATTGAGTGAAATCAGCGGCCAGACGTAGATAAAAGGTTAAACTTTCAGACTGAAAAGTTTCACGTTGAAATCAGTTTTGCACCTTCCTCCGTGATCACTGCTTTGGGGCTGAAATTTTCAGGAGCAATCTTCAGCAGCCTTGTTTTTGGCAACGTGGGTGAAGCTGGTCCTCCGGTAATCGTCGAGACTTGAGAAAGTCGTCGAAGTTGAGCTTTGATACCAGATGTTGTACCCGAGACCCGGGGTCTTATCGAGTAGCTAATTTGGAGAAGGATTTGCGGAGAAAATGGACGATGGAACGGAAGGGGTAAAATATGGAGTGTGGGAAAGAGTTCTTTTTGGTGTTTTTAATGAGAGAAAAGAATAAGTTTAAGAAGAAGAAATGGTGAGGAATGAAATGGGCAGAAATAAAGTGAAGGGATAAACCAAGTTGGTGTTAAGAGATATGACACACTCTTATCTTAACTTGGGGCTTTTATCTTCTTTTACACATTAATAATCACTACTAATGTATAAAATTAGACTCCTAACACGCACTCAAAAGTAGCCAACTTTAGAGATATTTCATTAGGAAATTTGGTTAAAATAGCATCACACTATTTTAAAGAATTACTCAAAGAGTAAAACAAAG